TTCCATTCCATATTGTCTTTTCTGTTCTGTTCTGTTTTATTCTACTCCTATTCTCCCTCTATGCCCTCAGCCTTTTAATCCTAGTTCATCCTCGGCTGTCTCATCTTCATCACTTTCAGCTCAAAGACACACTTACCAGTTGCCTCTGTTCCTCCCACAAGAATGTCGCGCTGGATTTTGCCATCATCTTCATCCAACGCAAACCAACGGTAGCACGGGAATTCATACACTGACTTGTTGCCAATATCTTCAATGATAACCTACGATCGGAGCAGAATGTCTCATCAGTGAAGGGAGAAGCTGTAGAACTATCTGCCTTTAGACCAATTTTGCAACCCACTCAGCAGATTTTTTTTAAAACAAATTTTATTAATTTTTAAAGACAATACACAAGCAAACAAAATGTAGAATATAAAAAAATAAGACATCTTTTCTGAAAAACAGATAAAACATCTTATTTAAAGACAGCATAATTCCAAATTATCACATTTCCATACAAGCACAATTTAATATGCATATTTATCTTATATATTCAACTTCATATCTTTTCCCAACTTTTCTCTATTTCTCCCTTTCCTTCTATTCAATTATATATAGTCTATCAAGTGAGCATGAATTTGATTTATGTCTGTACAAAAAGATGTAACCCGGAGTTAAGCCGCTTTCCAAAAATAAGTTTTATATATTTATGTTTTGTGTTTTGTTTGTCTATGTTTGAATTAATAAAACTCTAGAAGAATGTTGGAAGAGAATAATGAAATTGCAAATAAGACAGATGGATACAATGAATATATACAAATCAAGGCCACTCAGCAGATTTTTACCCACAGGTATTCACTGAGAACATTGTCTTTCTTAACAGACCAACAGAGTTCGAAGGGACTTTGTAAGTCTTCCAGGCCAAAGATCCCTCAATCTTGGCAAATTTAAGACTTCTGGACTTCAACTCCCAGAATTCCCCAGCCAACATGTCCACAAGTCTTAATTGCCTGTTTTTTGGCCTTTTTTTTTTTTACTGTTTTCAGGCCATTTTCAGGTGTTTTCTGGGCCATTTTTGGCCCAAAATGGCCTGGGAAGCAGCCCAGAAAACAGGCCGAAAAATGAGCAGGGCAGGACGAGCCGGTGGTGGGATTTTCCAGTTCGCCAAACTGTGTAGAATCTTAACTACCGGTGTGAACCAGCAGCAGCCCATCATTGGTTAAGGCAAACCTAATTAAGAGTTCCTGATACGGTGGCCTAAGTAATGAATTAATAACACAGCGAACCTTATCAAGGAACCATCCAGCTGAGCTTCCCTTGTTGTTATGCCCAATGGTGATTTTCCGGAGCTTGCCCAGATTGGGGGCATCAAGGGTGAACTTGTCTTCTGACCCCCTCTCAAAATTGTCCTTGTCGTTGTCCAACCTGCGTTCTCCTGGGCAACAGACATCATCAAAGATAAACAAATATGGAAAGAGAGAATAAGAGAGAGAGAAAAAGAGAGAGAAATCATTATCTCTCATCGGAAATTGGCGATCATTTTTTTTTTAAATCAACAGCTGCATTAAAAAGTGCTGCTGAGTTTTGTCCAAACCAGTCCCTTAGATTTTTGAAGCCATGATGTCCTTCTGCCTGGACCTTCACTTGCCTTCGGTCTTTCCCGGGAGGATTAAGTGAAAGATGCCATATTTTTCTGGGTGTCGCATCACATATCCAAAATATTCTAAGTTTCGTGTTTTGATGGTTTGGATGATTTCCCTTGGCTTTCCCAGGCGGCTTACCCCTTCCTCATTTCTGATTTTGTCAACCCAACTTATACGTAAGAGCCGTCTGTAAATCTACATTTCAAATGCTTCTAGTCTCTTCACGGAGGGACTAGTATATACCTGTCATGCCCCCGTTGGAATCTGATTCTGAGGGGGAGATCAAGCAGCTGACAGGGAGTGGGAGTGTGGCTCCAGAGATTGTGGAAGAAACTGGGGAAGGGCACAGTCCAGCTGGACATTCAGAGGAAGACCCAGGGCCACCCTCTCTTCATCCTAGGACACGCAGGGAGGAACGGAGAAGGGAGCAACATGAATTGCATGGTTTATGGGGGAGGAAAGGGCCCTGATCCCCTTCATTAGCTGAAGCTGGGAAAACTGTTTAAAAAGGCAAACTACCCACAGCAAAGTTTCTGGAAGCAAAGCGTGCATTATCTTTATTTGTCAAGTCTTATATGGATTCTAGCGTCCTCCCAACTGTGTGTGTTTCGTTATCTTTTGAAGTCTCCAATTCCTTATTCTGCCCTGTCTCGTTAATTGCTGCAACATGGTTTGTGTTGGTTTTTATTTATTTTGATGTATAATTTAGATGTACTTTGGGTTCGGATTGAATTTCTTCTCTTTAAAAACTGTTCTTGGGAGAGTTTTTTTTTTCTCCAGCTGATGATACCTGTATATTGGGGACCAAGTTGGAGGTATTAAAGGGACTTTACTTACTTTTGTGACTTTGTTGCTTTTGTTCCACCCCCCTGGGTCCTCACAATACCTATTAGTCTGCATTAGTCGATATAAGTACTGTATATACCCTAGGGAATATTACCTGTGTCTCCGTTCCGCCCAAAAATGTTAACGAAAACATCAGCATCTGTTCCACTGCCATTGACATCACCTGTAAACACTCGGACAACATATTTGTTTACTGCAGGGGGAAAAAGAACATTATACAATTAATTAAAAGAGGAGCAGATAGATGTCCGAGGAATGATCAAGCAAGCTGGAAGTACCACAAACATGTGTTTGCATCTGAATTTACCTGTAAGCTGGGGATCCACCATCTTATGGAAAAATAACCATCCTTTTTTGTCAGTTGCAACATCCTTAGGGCCCAGGTAGATTGGCTACACCAGGGGGTGGCCCAGCAGAAAGTACAATATCCTACCCCATCTCAAAAGGTGCTTTTCAAAGGGCTACTGGATTTTCTTGGGTTTCTTCCCCCACCCCCTTAAAATATTTCGCTTCTCCTCTAAGAATTATTACTATATTACTGAAACAGAACTGAAGAAGCTTCCCGGATGAAAAGCGAAATGTTTTCAAGGAGGGAAAAAACAACAACAACAAGAAAATTCATTTGCTTTTTAGGAAAACATCTTTGACCTGGATGATTAACCTGGAATTGAGGGGAAACTTCCTAACGGTGAGGATAATTAACCAGTGGAACAGCTTGCCACTAGAAGTTGTGGGCACTTCATCACTGGAGGTTTTTAAGAAGAGACTGGACAGTCACTTGTCTGAAATGATATAGGGCCTCCTGCTTGAACAGGGGGGTTGGACTAGAGGATCTCCAGGGTCCCTTCCAGCTCTATTCTGATTGATTGGGAATCTCCATAGACAATGTCTTCCCCTAAACTCTGCTGCCTCATTGCAAATCCCTATTGTGATTCAGCCCGGAGGCTGGAAATTGGTGTTATTATTAGTTTTAATTATTATTATTAAAACTTATTATATAAAACTTATTAGTTTTAATGTGAGGCAAATAAGGAACATGTGAAATACAATGAAAATATAGCCACACAAAACTCATTTGCAGATGTAGAAAGTTAGCACCCACCCACCCTTCTTCTAGAAGAATGAGATAGTTTGAGGAATACTCAAGAAAAAAAAAAAGACAGGATAAAATATTTCTCCCTAAAAGAGAAATAAAAAATCTTAAGTTCCCTGCCCCCCCGAGCAGATACCGGAGGAGGCAGCTTTTAGAAATGGTCATCCATTCAAAGACAGGATATTTTGAAACAGAGGCAGAGCGATAGGGTTAGCCCTCACCCAAGATCCAAACCAGGACAAAGCCATTAAGCCATAATAGGAATTGGCCAACCCCTTTTCAGAACACAAGCCCCTTCAGTACGTCATCTCAGTTGCACCACCCTCAGCAAATTTCAACCCAACTTGGAAGCTCAGACAACCTATAGAGCCAGCTGTGACGGGATTCAACCGGTTTGCACCACTTCAGCCGAACCCGTTATTAAGCTGCTGGCTGGCCCCAACCCACCCCTTCCAAGGGTCCCCATGCGTAAGTCGAGGACTACCTGTGGTTGTGAGAAATCTCTGGATTTAATTGGTTTGGATGACAATACGAAGTTTGAACTCTCTTTAAGGCTTGCTGAGATGGAAGAGAAAAAGCGAATAAAAACAGAACTGACCATGCCAGGGATTTTTGCACTGATATTCTCATTACAAAAAGTCAGCTGAAAATATGGGCAGAGAGGCTGGGAAGTTAATTTAAAACATTGCATTGGTTTGGTAACAAATCTTTTAAACTAGTGCTCTAAAGTAGTTGTCCTACTCCCTCTGCTGGTCAAATCAAAATCGGATGGCTTCTTATATTAGCTTTTGTTCTAAAACTGAACATCGGGCGCGGAATTTTAAGAACCAAAAAAAACCCCTCTTTTATATTAAAAAAAAAAGGAGTTGATAAAAATCCAAAGATGCTTAAAGGTGAGGCAGCGATTAAAAAAAAGGAAGGCAAAATGAAATTTTGAAGACATTGGGGTATGTAGCTAATTGGAATTAAGGATGGAGTAAAATCCACCCCCAGTAGGGAGATCAAGAAAGTCCCTGCAAGCTGCAATTGTGTTGAAAATGCACACAGTGCCCACATCACAACACTCCAGTTTTTAAATTTGCTTTTTTTCTCTCTCTCTTTTAAACGGCTTTAATTTCACACGGGCTTAAATTACTAACAGAATAACAGAGTTGGAAGGGACTTTGGAGGTCTTCTAGTCCAACCCCCTGCTCAGGCAGGAAACCCTATACCATTTCAGACAAATGGTTGTCCAATCTCTTCTTGGGTTGGAGCAGCCAGAACTTCTGGAAGCAAGTTGTTCCACTGGTTAATTGTTCTAATTCTCAGGAAGTTTCTCCTTATTTCCAAGTTGCTTCTCTCCTTAATTAGTTTCCATCTGTTGCTTCTTGTCCTGCCTTCGGAAAGTAAGTTGACCCCATTTCCCTTCAAATATTGGAACATGGCTATCGTGTCTGTTTCTTATGTTTACGAATAAGTCAAGGTGGCAAACATATCCAACACACCTTCCTCCTCCTATCTTCCCAGAACAACCCTGCAAGGTCAATTGGCCTGGGAGACTGTGCCTGGCCCAAAGTCACCCAGTTGGTTTTCATGGCTAAGGCGGGACTAGAACCCACAGTCTCCTAAGGCCGGACTACAACCCACAGTATCCTGGTGATTGGTCCAAAGTCATTCAGCTAGTATTCATGGCTAAGGAGGGACTAGAACCCACAGTCTCCTGCTTTCTAGCCCAGTGCCTTAACCACTACGCCAAACTGGCTCTCACCTCCCTGATGTTGCTTGCACCCGTTTCCAGAGAACCGTGTAAGGGCTAAGGAATGATAGCGATCATCAGCAGTGGGCTAGATTAAGGAAGTGCACTAAATTATAAACTGCAAGAAAGAGTAGCGTGAATGTTTGGAAAGGAGAAAAGGAAGGAGGCTTTGCAAGCCAAGACGTGTTAAGACTTTGAACCCATTTCTTGATTCTGAAGTTCTGATGGTAGAAGGCCAACAGGCAGGCCGTGAAGCAGTGGTGGGTTTAAAAAAAAAATTTCCTACAGGTTCGGTGTGAGTGCACGCTTTGCTGTGCCGCGCGAAGCAGCTGAGGTTGAAAAGCAGGAAATAAAAGTCAGTATAGAGCCAGGGTGGATGGGAGGGCCCAGCAGTTGATCATTGGAGCGAACTGGTTCGCTCACAGATAATCCTTGGAGGTACCGGTTAGGCTGAACTAGGCCAAACCAGCAGAATGCCACCACTGCCATAAAGGCATATGTCAAAGTACTGGACGAACCATCTTTCAAGCCCAAAGCTGACATATGTGTCGCCATTTTATTTAGTCTTATTATATACTCCTTTTCTTTCTTTCTCTTTGCAGTTATGGGGGAAATGGTTTCAGGCTTGCCACATTTCTAAGGTGGGAGGAGCGGAGATAGTGAGAGTTGTTTAGGCTAGGTGGTTCTTCTTCCCGTGGGAACGAAAGCTGACCCTGCTGAGACCTGGAGGTGGAGATTGATGACACTCAGCAAGGTTGATTTACTTCCATTGGAGAATGTGACTTTTAGGGGTTGCTTCTAACTTCCAGTATGATGTGGTGTAATTCCAGGTCATGTCAGATCCAGAATTACAACAGACTTTACCAATTTGATGCTTTTCTAAATAAAAAGAAATTATTATGGAAGATGGACTTTGCACTTTTCTTTTTAAATGGATTTCACCACTTGGAAACCTGACACCATCCTTTTCATGTTGGTATTTGAAAATTATGCAGCCCTTGAGAAATAATATTCACCGTACCGTTGATTTTAACCTGGCGGAAAGGAAATGCTGGACGGATGCCTAGTTTTAAACCTGCGCTCAAAACCTTGGCAAGCAGCAAGAAAGAAAAATTTAGACTAGTCGGTGGATCTTGTACAGCTTTGTCTGTCTACATATTGGGTATTTTCTTTCTTTAGCACAGCACAGATTTTAAAAATGTAAAGAGGAGTAGAAATGGAATGAAGGAGATGAGCCGTGTTCTAATAATATTTGGAACTGAGTGGCTGTCATTCCAACAGGCAAGGGTAAAACCGGTGCCTTTTTAATGTAAGATGGGAGCAAACCAAGACTCTAATATTTGGTGTCGCCAGCTAAATGTTCACAGAGATTCTCAGTCAATCCAGGTCATAGTTGTCCCCAAAGATGCTTTTTCAAAAGATAACTGGATTTTGTTTTTCCTTGAAGACATTTCACTTCTCATCTAAGAAGCTTCCTTCAGTTCTGACTGAGTGGTGGAGGAATAAATCCTTCCATCCTCCACCATTTGGTCAGAACTGAAGGAAGCTTCTTGAAGGAGAAGTGAAATGTCTTCAAGGAAAAACAAAGTCCAGTTGCCTTTTGAAAAAGCACCTTTGTGATGGCCAGCTAGTATTAGTTCCTTCCCATTGTCCCTCCTCAGCGTCTGGTCTTTGTAAGGGATGCTATAGGTAGTCTTCAACTTACAACCCTTCTTTAGTGACTGTTCAAAGTTACAATAGCACTGAAAAAAGTGACTTAGGGCCTTTTTGTACTCTTACAACCGATGCAACATTCTTACGGTCGTTATCATCAAAATTTAGATGCTTGGCAACTGACACATATTGAAAATGGTTGTGGTGTCTCCAGGTCATGTGATCACCTTTTGGGCTCATATTTATGAAGGTTGTGATCCGCTTTAGCAACCTTCGGACAAGCAAAGTCAATGGGGAAGCCAAATTCACTTAACAATGGTGTTCCTAACTTAAAAACTGTGGTGATTCACTTAACAACGGTGGCAAGAAAGGTCATAAAATGGGGCAAAACTCACTTAACTACTGCCTCATTTAGCAACAGAAATGTTGGGCTCAATTGTGCTCGTTGTCGGGATTCCAGCAATTGCCCAAATTAAATCATGATTCTCGAGACAAACTTCAACCAGCTTCGAAGGATTCATTAGAGGCGACAGACTGGCACTGCCCTGTATGAAGCCAACTCTGGCACATATAATTATTTACAATCACCTGTGACCCTGTTTCCGCCCCTAGGTGTCTCATAAACCAGATTCTCCAATTAAGCACATTCACAGGCTGGGTGTCATCATTCACGTTCTCCAATTAAATATATTCACGAGCAAAAACTCTGGTATTTTAGTTACAGTCTTTTAAAATTAAGAGTTGGAATGTACTTTTGATTTCCCACCTTTTTTCTGGCAACTACTTAAACAGGCATAGGAATGATTTGTGAGTTGACAATCGTAGGCCAAGGGAGCACAGGGATGCCACAACGGTCATAAATGTGGAAAAAGATTGTTACTTTTTGGGAAGGTGTAACTTTAGTCATTAATTGAAAGGTTGCAAGTTAAGGACCAGCTGCACATAATTCTGGAGCTCCAGAATGACCCATGCTAGAGGGAAGATTTATGAAGGTGGTATAGAGACAAGCCGAGAGAGAGAAAAAAATTGCTTTTCTCCGGTTAAAATTGGGTATCGAAGAATTTCTCTTGAAGTTAGACATGCTGAACCGTGAAACAAAAGATTCTTTACACAGCGCACAGCCTTTAATTAAATTAATCACTGCTCAAATGTCTCTTTATACCCAATGGCCAAATTGTCTGTTATCTGACCTGGTTTGAGAGAAGAAGAGGGTTTGGGGTTTTGTCTTTTTTGGTTTTTGTTTTTCTTAAATCATTGCTGTAGGACGTTAAGACACTTCGACTTAAGAATTTATTACGGGAAAGAAAACACCGCGAGGATGGTGGAACGATATCCCATCCTTTGCAATTAATACCCAGGATGAAAGCGAATATCATCCCCCCCTCGGCAGCACTTAGGTAAATAAGAATCTGTGGTGGTGTAAATGTGAGAATAATTGCTTGGCATATGGCAAACTGCAAAATTGACAGATGGGTTTTCTGGCTGAGCACCACGACCTGCAGCATTTTCCTTGTAAGAAACCCACACAATTTGTGAAAAGATGGTGTGATGTCAGGTTAAGCCGTACGGAAAAGCTGCTTTCCAGTTTTCTTTTGGCAGGGAATCCTGAGCGCAGAAAATCACCTCTGAGTTTTACATTCGGGCGTTTGAAACCTTTATCATCACATCGTTCGTTGTCCTGGAACTGAACTGAATGGAAAGGAGGAACTAATATTGACCTGCATAAGGCAGAATCTGGTTTTCAAAAAACTAAACAAGGACTAGGGAGTGACATGAGAACAGTGTGAATCCTGCATCCAGTTTTGGTCACCAGGCTATACAAAAGATGTTGAGACTCTAGAAAGAGTGCAGAGAAGAGCAACCGGGATGATTAGGGGACTGGAGGCTAAAACATATGAAGAACCATTACAGGAACTGGGCATGGCTAGTCTAGGGAAGAGAAGGACCAGGGGAGACAGGATAGCAGTCTTCCAATATTTGAGGGGCTGCCACAGAGAGGAAGAAGGGGTCAGCCTATTTTCTAAGACACCCGAAGGCCAGACAAGAAATAATGGATGGAAACTGATCAAGAAGAGATTCAACCTAGAAATAAAGAGAATTTTTCTGACAGGGAGAACAATCAACCCATGGGACAGCTTGCCTTTGGAGGTTGTGGGAGCTTCCTCACTGGAGGCTTTCAAGAAGAGACTGGACTGCCATCTGTCAGAAATGCTGTACAGTCTCCTGCTTGGGCGGGTGGTTGGACTAGATGACCTACAAAGTCCCTTCCAACTCTATTAATCTGTTAAACCTATTCTTCACAAAGGCAGGACAAGAAGCAAAGGATGGAAAGTAACCAAGGAGAGAAGAAACCTAAATTAAGGATAACTTTCTTAACAGTTAGAAGAATTATCCAGTTGAACGGGTTGCCTTCAGAAGTTGTGGCTGCTCCATCACTGGAGGTTTTTAAGAAGAGACTGGGCAGCCATTTGTCTAGAATGGTATAGGGTCTCCTGCTTGAGCAGGGGGTTGGACTAGAAGACCTCCAAGGTCCCTTTCAGTTCTTATTCTGTTAAACTTGACAATGACAATGTGATCACACATGTTATAGTTCTACCTTGTTCCCCGCATACAAAGTGTTAATATTCATTAGGATGCAAAGCGTACTGGTATCCAATTCAGTATCAATAAAGTAATAATATGTATATAAATTTTATACCCTTTTCTCTAAAATTGCCACATGTAGGAGGGGAGGGGAGGAGAGGGGAAGGGAAGGGAAGGGAATAAATGAGTGAAGAAGGGAAGGGGATAAATGGGTGAAGAAAGGAAGGGAAGAGAACGGAAGGGAACACAACAGAACAGAACAATAGAGTTATTATATTCTAGAGGGATCCTGGAGGTGTTATTCCAAAACCTAAGGATTCATTGGGAAAGCAAGAAGAGTTAAAACATAACCACAGATCCAAATTCATTGTATAGACCTGACTTCCAAATATGGAAAAAAAAAGATCCCCATTGCAAGTACTGAATCAATAATACTTTACTTTAACAGTGAACAGCCTGTCAATCCAGACACTTCTGTCTCTATTTTATACCCAGGGGGTCTTTCTGACCACACTAGAAAATTTCAGTTGATTTTGCTGCTATTTTGGGATAAAGATCATCAAGTCTGGAGTGTGACTATATTGCTGTTTGCCACCCAGAATCAATGTGTGCGGGTTGGGTGGTCTTTTAAATTTATTTAATAAATAATAACATGATTTAAAATAATATACTGTATATATCACTGTACTTTCTTAAAATACGTTTTTTTTAAAAAAAACCTGCATAATGTATAATTTTTCTTTAAAAAACTCCTACAAGGCAACAACTTGGATATTACTTTAGGCAAGATTTAAATTCATGCAATTTTCCATCCTAGAATGCATTTATTACCACGGCGGAACTCTGTTGCAAAGACCGAACATTTCAAACGTGTTCATTTATTTTCACTATTTCTACGCTGACGTTTAGGTTTCCTCAAGTTTATAAGATAACTGTGGTTTCCTTTAGCAAAAGGATAACGAAACTTTAGCTTCTGTGACATTTGAAAATGAAAAATTAGATTTATTGCTTGTGAAAATTAAAAGAAAAATTGGATTAGATGGGGAAATGTCAGGTAGTTCTCGACTTACGACCATCATTCTGCTAAACAAATAACTCCCTCAACACTGTCTAACTATTTACAAAGTCTACACTACTATTACTATTAATTTTCTCATCACTCCTTATCACCCATCCCCTCCCACTTGTGACTGTAGGACTGTAACTTGGTCGCTTGTATCCTAACAATTTTTATTGACTGTTTCCTAGTGTGATTTGATTGCTTCTTTGTACCCTATGACTATCATTAAGTGTTGCACCTTATGATTCTCGACTCTTGACGAATGTACCTTTTCCTTTATGTACACTGAGAGCATTTGCACCAAGACCAATTCCTTGTGTGTCCAATCACACTTGACCAATAAAAGAATTCTATTCTATTTCTATTATTTTAGGGTTTGAAATGACAATGGCACTGAAAAAAGTGACTTATGACCATTTTTCACACGGCCATTGCAGCATCCTCATCGTCACGTGATCAAAATTCAGACGCTTGGCAACTGACTCATATTTATGACAGTTGCCGTATCCCAGGTTCATGTGGTCCCCTTTTGCGACCCTTCGGACAAGCGAAGTCCATGGGGAAAGCGGATTCACTTAACAACAGCGTTACTAACTCCACAACTTCAGGAATTTGCTTAATAACTGCAGGAAGGAAGTTCGTAAAATTGGGGTAAAATTCACTTCACAACTGTCTCACTTAGCAACAGAAATTTGGGGCTCATTTGTGGTCATTAGTCAAGGACTATCTTGTATACCACATTAATATATGTATTCAGTCACGCATTCACACAATCGCAGAGTTGGAAGGGACCTTAGAGGTCCTCTAGTCCAGCCCCCTGCTCAAGCAGGAGACCCCCTGTAGAACCACAGAGTTGGAAGGGACCTTGGAGGTCATCTAGTCCAACCCCCCCCCTGCTCAAGCAGGAGACAATCACAGAATCACAGAGCTGAAAGAGACTGTCATGCCCCTGTTGGAGGTTGACTTCGAGAGAGAGGAGGAACAGCCGACAGGGAGTGGGAGTGTGGCTCTGGAGGTGGTGGGGGAAGGGCACAGGTCAGCTGGGCATTCAGAGGACGACCCAGGCCCATCCCCTCTTCATCCTAGGGCACGCAGGGAGGTACAGATAAGGGAGCAATGTGAGTTGCGTGGTTTACAGGGGAGGAAAGGGCCCCGATCCCTTTCATCAGTCGCAGCTGTAAGGACTGTTTATAAGGACAAACTGCGCATGGGCCAGTGCTGAAAGCAAAGCGTGAAAATATTTCTAGTTTGTCAGTTCTTATCTGAGTTCTGGCGTCCTTCCCGGTGTGTGTATTTCAATATCTGTGGACATCTTCAAGCCTTTATCCTGCCTTGTCTCATTAATTGCTTCAGTGTGGTTTGCGTTGTTTTTTTCTATTTATAATTTATATGTATTTTGAGTTTGAACGGCATTTCTTCCTTTTCACAACTGTTTGTGGGGGAGTTTTTTCTCCAGTCAATGATAATTGGAGCTTTGAAGCCAAGTTGAAAGAATGAAAGGGACTTCACTTGTTTTTGTGACTTTGTTGCTTTTGTATCCCACCCTGAGTCGTCATAGAGACCTTGGAGGTCCTCTAGTCCAACCCCTTGCCCAAGCAGGAGATCCCCCCATAACAGAGTACCCCAAATGAGGGGAATCCAAGCCCTTTTGTCTTCTCCTTTCCCGTAAGGAATCAACCTTGGCTGCATGGAACGGCCCATCTACCCTCTATAGCGACGAGAGGAGGACACAGCAAGAACACCCTCCCCCCCACCACAGGCCGAGAGTGCCCCCTTCCCTTGCACACTTCACTACAGTATGCTATGATGTACCTTTGGGAACATCCATAGGATTAAGGCTGCCAATCAGATCTCTGACATAAAGTCCGTCCCCTTCATCTTTACTCAGCCAATTGTTGCACGGGAAATAAAAACGGAGGTGGGGCCTGTTCATGTCTGTCACAATCACACGGTCAAGATACCAGCTGGCGTTCATTCCGGTGTTGTCGTGCTCAATTCTGCCACACAAATAGAGAAGAGAAAGAAGGGTGCGGGCTGGCAATTATTAAAATCGATATTTGACAACCTGCTGCCCTCAGATGCATTATTTATTTATTTCATTTATTATTTGAATTGATTTGATTTGTCGATCGCTTACAAGATAACAGATATAAGTATAAACATGAGTAATAATACAGGAAATGGGTACAAATAAATGGGGGACAATAGGACAGGGACAATAGGCACAATTGTTCAGTTATGCACAGACCTCCTAGGAATGGGGTAAGGCCAAAATGAGGAACATATTATCATTTATAGTGGAATTGCAAAGAAGCCCAAAAGTTTCGGCAGAAAATTCAGAAATGGTTAGAAGAGATGTGTAAGATTAAAATAGAATAGAGACCTGATTTTTTTCTTGTTAAGAATTAATGTGGGAAAATATGACAAATATAGTATATACCTAACAATTCACGTAACCACAGCTGCAAGATTGGCCTATGCACAACGTGGAAATGTAAAGAAACTCCAAGTGTAATAGAAATAATTAGGAAAATGTGGATGTGTGCAGAAATGGACAAATTGACAAAAGAACTAAAAAATAAGGACGAATCGGATTATTACAAAGTATGGGATAAGTTTTATTGCTGGTTAGAAAAGAGGAAGGATCAAGAAAATAAGAAATGATTTTATGTATATATTATATACTACCTATATAGAGTGTAAATATGTACTATTTTTACATGACTCAGCAATGTAAAACAACTATGTAGGTTAGGATGATTGCACCATGTCCACTGTTTTTAATGTCCTTTTCTTTCTTTTTTTGTGTTTGTTCAATAAAATTTTTGAACACGAAAAAGGAATGGGGTGAGGTCAATAGTGGATAGTTTAAGGGTAAAGGAGTGGGGAGTTTTTTAGAATGGCAGCTCCCATAATCCCCTTTCTTCACTGGCTGGGAATGCTGGGAATTGTAACCCCAACCCAACTAGAGGATATCGGATTGAGGGACGTTGTGGTACGTTTCCCTTTTGTCGTACTTTGGCAACAGCAACACAGACATCACACCTACGAAGTCAAGGCTCTGAAGTAACGATTTACCTCATGAATTTAACACAACAAAGACTTTTATGCAAACCTCTTTCTACAAAAGCAATGAGCTCATTTCATATTTCGATGTTTTTGAAGTGACAAGCACTTTGAACATCTATGTATTTTTTAAAGAGGGAGGGGGGGATTTTGTGAGAAATCTGGAATCTATACTAAAAATTTGCAGCGGAGAGATAAAAAGCTTCAGTTCTTAAATTTCTGACTTAGTTTTCATTACATGAAAACCATGAGAAGACTAAGAATCTACAGGGTGATATCAAGTTCCTTTTGTCTAAGCTCCAAAGTATGGATATGGTCTAGATATTAATACATAGAATACTTTTCTTTTTTTTTGAACCCACATATTTTAAAATGTGATATGTAATTTAATATACGTATAACTTCTTGAATTTCTTATACTTTACAAAATTGACCATACATCTCCACCTTATGTGTATCATATTATTCTGTGTTCTTTCCATACATTTTTCTGATGCTATCCCTGTATTTTATGTCGTATACTCAATCAGAATAGAGCTGGAAGGGACTTTGCAGGTCTTCTAATCCAGGGGTCGCCAACCTTTTGGACCTCAGGGACCACCAAACTCATAATTTTAAATCCCATGGACCAGAGACCCTGGAAAAATCCCCAAAAAAGTCTGCAGGAAAATTCCCCACCCCATTTTCCTACCGATCGATCATTCTTTATTTGGGATCGCAGGATACTGTCTCCAGATCTGTTCTCAGGGGGAGAGACTTTTGGCTTCATGCAAGGAAAGCAGCAGAATCAGCGGAAGTCTTTCTTTCTCTCCCTCAAACTCCGTCAGAAATGATCTTGGTGAGACTTATCGTGCTGGCGTAGCCTCTTGGAGCAGGAGGCCTTGCAGGGTCCCAAAGACTCGTTTCTGGCGGAGTTTGGGGCAGAGAAAGAAAGACTTTTGCTGCTTTCCTTGCCTGCAGCCAAAAGCAGAAGGAAAAAGAGGCAGAAAGAAGCAGTCTGGTAGCCAGGTGAGGCACGTGGGGCAAGTTCCCCCTCTCCATCCTTTCCACCCTCCCCTCACTACCTCACGTTGTTTGCAATGCAAACAATGCAAGCCTCTGTGTTCCCATGGGCCATGTGGGCAGTGCAGCCTTGTGTTCCCACACAGCCTGGATTATTTGCTTTGGGGGTACTTTGGGGGTGACATTTCTCTGCGGACTGCCAACATTTTCTCATGGACCACCAGTGGTCCCCAGCCCACGGGTTGGTGACCATTGTTGTAATTTAACCCCCTGCTCAAGCAGAAGACCCCATAGATCAGGGCTGTCAAACTTCTGGGCCGTGGACCGTATGCGTCACGTGCTGGCCACGCCCACACCTGGTTTAGTGAAGGGGGGGAAAGTCCCGCTATGTCACGTGACGTTACCATGACAACGTGAGTTTGATATCCCTGCTATAGATCAAAGGAATATTACAAAGCTTTCAGAAGGAACATAAGATCTAGGAAATGACCAGACTGAGCCTGAGGGAGAGGTCAAATGTGTCTTCAGGCCCTTCACAACCATAAGAGATCTAAGTCCAACCGACCTTGAATTCTGTCGAGTCTTATTTACTGCCCATTTGCTTTGACCATTAGTAGTTCCAGTCGGGGGTGGGCTTCAAAAATTTTAGCAACAGGTTCTCTGCCCGATTGCTGGGTGGGTGTGGCCTTGGTGGGCGTGGCCTAGTCAGCCTCTGCACCAGGGCAGGAGGGGCATTTTTGCTCTCCCCATGCTCCGGAGACTTGCCTGGAGCCTCCAGGAGGGCGAAAATTGCCTCCCCGGGCTCCAGAGGCTCTCTGGAGGCCAGAAACGGGCCCATTTCCAGCCTTCCCAAACTTCTGGGAGGCCCATTTTTCACCCTTCCTGACCCTCCGTGTGTGCTCTGCACTTACCTGCATCCAAAACGGGCCAGGTGGGGACTCCTGGGCAGGGCGGGGTGGGCGGGGCCAGCCAAGAGTCGGATTGGGGGTTTTCTGAACTGTGCAAAAATCTTAGCTGGAGGATTTCTCGAACCTCTACAAACCCCCAGCAGGTAAAGAGTGTTACCATGCAATAAACCTGTATTCATTTGAACCGCCCTGATTTAACGTGACTGACCATATGCTTCAAAGGTTAATTTGTGTTGTTTTGAAAATTATGTGAACCTTTTAAAAACTAAGTTGTGTTGACTTCTTTTGTCCTTGTTTATTTATTTATTAAATTTACTTGCCACCCATTTCGCTCTGGGGCGACCCTACAATAGTAAAATGGTGAAAATAATAATAATGATAAAATATAAGCATAGCTATAGCAAAGCAATGAAATAATTAAAACAAAACAAAGAAAACAGAATACTATATTTTAAAATATCGGTTGGGGGGGGACAGGAAGCGCAAGGGGTGAGGTCACCTAATTATTTTTATTTATTAGAAAATTTATATTGCCACCTATTCACACATGGCAACTCAAGGTGGCTTACAGGGGTATAAAAACATCATATATAAAACAAATAAAAATAATAAAGGAAATTAATGCAATAATATAATAGCCCGCCACCTGCCACCTCGGCAATAACATATCACACGAGCCATTTAATGGGCTCTGTCCCACTCTGGGTTCTCCAGGCCCACTGGCAGAACCAGGTCTTTAGCGCCTTCCGGAAGAAAAAAACATGAATTACGCCGTCTTCGGTCCGATCTAAGTATAGTATATAAAATCATACATTGTGATGTCCTACCTGTCAATGAATACTTCAGCTTCAACCATAACAACACAAGAGCACACAATAGATACAAACTCAAAGTAAACCACACCAAACTTGATTGCAGGAAATACGACTTCAGCAACAGAGTGGTCAATGTCTGGAATACTCTACCTGACTCTGTGGTTTCTTCCCTAAACCCCCAAAACTTTAACCTTAATCTTTTCTTATTGGTTCTATGAGAGAGCGCTTCCTGTGTGTGCCCGCACAGCATTCAAAGGCCTCGCTGTCAGCATTGGTACGGCAATTCACTCTGCCGCGTGAATCAGCTGAGCTAAAAGACAAGGGAATATATATAGGACAGGGAACAGCGGCGGCAGGAGGGCGGGGCCAGCCAGAGGTGGCATTTGCCGATTCTCCAAACTACTCTAAATTTTCACTACCAGAACTGGTCCAAACCGGCTGAATACCACCTCTGGGTGGGACCCAGAAGAAAGGCCTTCTCCGTGGTGGCTTCCTCTCTCTGGGACATCATCCCCCCAGAGATTAGAATGGCTCCCACTCTAGCACTCGTTATTTTTATTTTATTTGGTTTATCAATTGCTTACAAGACAATAGGTATAAGTATAAACATAGGTATGAATACATGGATACATATAAGAAAAATTAAAAGAAACAATTGGACAGGGATGGTAGGCACGTTGGTGCGCTTATGCACGCCCCCTACAGGCCTCTTAGGAAAGGGGTGAGGTCACATCCACTACCTAAGCCACGCCCACAGAACCGGTTGTTAAAATTTTTGAATCCCACCCCTGGAATCCCACCAGTTGTTCCACCAGGTGTATCTCCCTCAGGGATGGGACCTGAAACATTCCTTGCCTCCCCGCTCAGGTGGGTCAGGTAGATGTGACTGGCAAGAGACGTTCCCTCAGATAATCTGGTCACAAGCCATGAAGGGCTTTAAAGGTGAGGACCAGCACCTTGAATTGCACCTGGAAGCAAATAGGCAGCCAATGCAGCTCCCGCGGGAAAGGTGATACATGTGCACACCGGGGTCTGCAAAAACCCATGTGGGCCGCTGCATTTTGCACCAAGTGGAGCTTCTGGATGCTCTTCAAGAGCAACCCCGTGTAGAGCATAATTAGTCAAGTAGCCGCCCTTTAGGGTTCTTTAGGCTGGCTTTAATCTCACGATTATACCTTATTTTCCGGATGGCTCCAACATTGTTGGTTTTCACTCGAAACACATCTGTTTTGCTTCTTTCAAAGGCAGAACTGCTCCTGAAACGGATGGGACATCACAGTGAAATATAATCAGTACGTTCTACATATGGGATAGTAAGTTAACAGTGGAAACCTCTAGATCAGGGCTCTCCTGGCAACTTTAAGACTTGTGGACTTCAACTCCCAGAATTCCTCAACCAATTCAGAATTCTATTCTATTCTATTCTATTCTATTCTATTCTACCCTACTCTATTCTACTCTACTCTAGTCTATCCTATCTTATCCTACTCTACTCTATTCCATCCTACTCTATTCTATTCTCTGTCCTATCCTATCCTATTCTTATCCTACTCTACTCTACTCTACTCTACTCTACTCTACTCTACTCTACTCTACACTATCCTACTGTATTCTCTATTCTACTATATCCTATCCTATCCTACTCTATCCTATCCTATTCTATTCTATTCTATCCTATCCTATTCTATCCTATCCTATCCTATCCTTTCCTACTCTATTCTATTCTATTCTATTCTATTCTATTCTATTCTATTCTATCCTATCCTATCCTATTCTATCCTACTCTACTCTACTCTACCCTATTCTATCCTACTCTACTCTATTCTATTCTATTCTATTCTATTCTATTCTATATTCTATCCTATCCTATCCTACTCTACTCTACTCTACTCTATCCTATCCTATCTTACTCTACTCTACTCTACTCTACTCTATTCTATTCTATCCTATCCTATCCTATCCTATCCTATCTTACTCTACTCTACTCTATTCTATTCTATCCTATCCTATTTAACTCTACTCTACTCTACTCTACTCTACTCTACTCTACCTCTACCTCTACCTCTACCTCTACCTCTACTCTTACTCTATTCTACTGTACTCCACTCTTCGTTTTCTATTCAGTTTGTTCTCTTCCATTCAATTCCATTCCATTCCATTCTATTTGTAACACGGTTGTTAAGTGAATCTGCCTTCCCCATTGACTTTGTTTGCCAGAAGGTCGCAAAAGGGGATCACGTGACCCCGGACAACCATCATAAGTATGAACCAGTTCCCAAGCATCTGAATTTGGATCCCATGACCACGGGGATCTGCAACAGTCGTAAGTGGGGAAAACGGTCATAAGTCACATTTTTCAGTATCGTTGTAAAGCCGAATGGCCACTAAACAAATGGTGGAAAGTCGAGGACTACCTGTAATAAGAAGTCCCATGGTCTTCAGCTGATCTCTTGGAGAGAAGCTTGTTTATAAATTCAGAGCTATTTACATTTGAGATTGTTTGTTTGTTTATATATCAAACTTTTTAACTGCCCATCTGTCTCATTCAGAGAATTCCATCTCAAATACAGTTCCAGAGAATGAAAGCATTTGATGATATTCTGTTTAAACTAAGTTTGTATATTAGTGTTTGCATGACCTCTATAGATCATCATCTTCTTTTAACATCCCCAACTGAATGAAGCAAGCAGAGTGTTTTAATGGCCGGATGCCCTTCCTGTCACCAATGCAGAGTTTTGTTCAGCAGATATATTCTCATTTTGCCCCGAGAGAGAAATATGGGCCTCTATCTAGGATCGAACTCTCAGCCTCCTGATTGTGAGGCGAGAGCTCTGCCTCTAGGCCATCGCACCACTCCTCATGACCTCTGTAGATGCCATACGCTAAATTAATAAAATAAAAAGTTTTTGAGGCTTTTAAAAAATATTTCTCAACCGCAAAGAAATACTGGGTAAGTATTCATATTTGAATACAAAAGATTCTTAAAGCGAATATAAAAATTAAAGCAGAGACATTTCTTTTAGGTTTTAATGGACCAAGAATTTGAAAAAGAAAGCTGGAACCTTTTTGTTATATGTGTTGAAAACAGCCAGAGTGCTTTATGCACTAAAATGGAAATATAACTTTAACTCCCACAGAAGATGAATACTGTGCTGACCCAAACCTTGTTCCAAGGAAACCAACATGAAACAGAGGTAACAACAAAACCTTTTAATGATTCTTTACGAATTCCGTTCCTTCACGGTTAAAAGGCTGTTTCAAACTAATTGTGTCTGATAAGAACGAGCCTTGCCAAGGTTGTGCAAGGCTGCCAAGAACACTAGATAAAGTTACTAAAAAATATTTCAAACACAAAGAGTCTCCAAACACCAACCAAGATATTCCGAACCTCCACAAGGCTTGAGTGCAAAAACTTCTTTGCTTCCTGCAAAGGACTCTGGTTTCTCAGCTGGCTTTTGTCTCTTAAGGGAGGGGCCATTACCTTGTAGCCTTACTCCTGAGTCGCCTTTGCTGCTGCAGCTGCTCTTTCCTTCGAGCAGCCCTGGGCGCACACGCACGCTGGGCACAGGCTCCTCAGGGACCTGCTGCCAGCCTCCACAATCTCCGAAGGCAGCCTTCCACTCCCTAATAGTCCTGGCTCCATCCCCGCATCACACGCACGCCCCTCGTAGCCGTCCACACCTGCTGCCAGCAAACCCCAACAATGACTGGAAATACTGATGGAATTTTTACTTAGCAATTTAAGTGAGGTGGCTAAATTAACCAATCTAATCAAAGAAAAGAACAAAATTTACTTAACAAGTATCTCGCTTTGCAACAGAAATGTTGAGATCGATTGTGGTCATAAGTCAAGGGCTACCTATATAGAAAGAAAGAAGTATATACAGTATAATGTCTAGAATTTCCCAAGGTGCAGCCGCATTGAAAGGAACACAAGCAAGGAGGCTGTGAAAAATATTTCATGGTTTTTTATTGTTTTTTGGTTTTTTTTTTTGCTTTATGCAGGTAGTCCTCGGCTTACGACCACAATTGAGCCCATAATTTCCATTGCTAAGTGAAACATTTGTTAAGGGACTTTTGCCCCATTTTATGTCTTTTCTCGCCACTGTTGTGAGTGAACCACTGTAGTTGTTAAGTTAGCAACACAGTCGTTAAGCGAATTTAGCTTCCCTCTTGATTTTGCTTGTCAGAAGATCGCAAAAGCTGATCGCATGGCCCTGGGACACTGCAACCGTCATAAATACGAGTCAGTTACCAAGCGTCCCAAATTTGGATCATGTGACCCTGGGGACGCTAAGTGTGGAAAAACGGTCAACAGTCACTTTCTTTCAGTGCTGTTGCAACTTTGAATGGTCACTAAATGAACTGTTGTAAGCCAAGGACAACCTGTAGTCATTTCCCCGTTAAGAAAGCCCTTTGATGCTCTGTGGATAGTTTGCATTTTACTCTCACCCCTCTAGCTGGCATAATAAATGGTGAGGCTCAGTGGGAAACAGATGTGCCTAGCACATCTGGAGGGAAACAGATGGCCAGTATCTGTGGTAATATAAACATTTACTCCTTCACGCAAGTCATTTGCCAGCCGAGTTCACCATATGCGGTTGTGATAACTACCTCGGCATTCTCCACCCTACGAGTCAGTGGTGGGATTCAAAATTTTTACTACCGGTTCTGTGGTAGGTGTGGCTTGGTGGGCATGGCAAGGGAAGGATACTGTAAAATCCCCATTCCCTCCCCACCCCACTAACCTGCTTTCCAGCTCTGTACTCCTGTGCAGGGCAACCAAAGAAGACCCAGCCAATCAGCTAGGACTCGGGAGGCGGAGAAGAGATGGGGGCGGGGCCAGTCAGAGGTGGTATTGGCTGGTTCTCTGAACTACTCAAAATTTCCGCTACCGGTTCTCCAGAATTGGTCAGAACCTGCTGAAGACCACCATCTTATTTCATAATTTTTACGATTCACTTCTTAGCCTATTTCCTTTAACTTTAAATAACTCTCATATCTTCATATTCGTCATACTTTATACTTTTATCTGTCAGGTTTGCAAATTCATCGCATATTCTTATTCCATCTCAATTCAAACATTTCAAAAAAGTTTCTCCCACAATGACCAATAAGTCTGTGCCACCCCTATAGCTTATATATCATTTAATTAATTTCCCTTTAAATCCCAATAATCATTTAACTTTTAATTATCACCTAAAAATTAATAACAATAATCTCCAAGCAACTATATAACATATATACCTAAAAAGGTATATTTTTAAGGGGGGGGGGGGAACCCATTGGTTTAATTAAGCAATTTTAAAAGTTTAGCAGGTTGCAAAAGGTTAGCCTTTTGTCTTGTCCAGGGGTCACTCTGTATGACTGTAACTTTGTCGCTTGTATCCTTACAATTTATATTGACTGTTTCCTAGCATGATTCGATTGCTTATTGTACCTTATGACTTTAAGTGTTGTACCTGGTGATTCTTGACTCTTGATGAATGCATCATTTCTTTTTATGTATACAGAGAGTATTGGCACCAGGACAAATTCCTTGTGTGTCCAATCACACCTGGTCAATAAAAAGAATTCTATTCTATTAGTTTCTACCCATTGCTTCTTGTCCTGCCTTCATGTGCTTTGGAGAATAGCTTGACTCCCTCTTCTCTGGGGCAGCCCCTGAGATATTGGAAGGCTGCTATCATGTCACCCCTAGTCCTTCTTTTCAATAAACTAGACATACCCATTTCCTGCAACTGTTCTTTGTATGTTTTAGCTTCCAGCCCCCTTATCATCTTTGTAGCCTCTTCTCTGCACTCTTTCTAGAGTATCAGCCTCTTTTGGATAATGCTCTACAGAATTTGTGTATTTTGGCAGTACTTACTTGCTGGTCAGATGGGCTTTTGGTGTGATGCCAAATTCACCGAAGAGGGTAACGAAGACGTTGGCATCGGTCCCTGCCCCTCTGATGTCTCCAGTGACTGTTACCACTTCATAGACTAGTAAAGGAAAGGGGTAGAAACAAAAAAAAGTCAGAATTGAGGAGGCGTATGGATTTATAGCTGATCCTAAAATCAGGGTAGAAAAACTAGAATTCTGAGTAAATGCAGAGTTTGAAAGCTCTTTTTTTCCTACTTTAACACACCTGATTGAGTTACCTGAATTCTGCCAATGACATTGGGAGATAAGCAAAGAAAGGCTACAGAGAATTGGGTAGACTAAAACACAAGATTTCTAAAGAGAATTGGAGAAGCTGGGACTGTTTAATTGAGGGGAAGGGGAAGGTGTTATGTCTTTGGAACTGGTTGGAGTCCCCAACCAGGTCCGCTGTTTGAGCGGGAGCACCAGCCGCTCCCATTGGCTGGCTCCGTTTGACAGTCGGCTATAAAAGCCGGCTGTCGAGCAGAGCCAGCCCGTTGCCGCCAGCTAACCTGCTAGTTAGAAGGCAGACGCGGCAACCCTTTATTCCCTGTAATAAAGCCTGTTCGTTGTTCACTCTGGCTCTTGCCTCTTCCTTCCATCGCTCTACAACACTGGCGACGAGGGTGGGATTTGGTCGAAGGCTAGCCAGATGTGCTGTTCAAAAGAGCTGTGGTCACTGAAGAGCGAAGCCACGGGCGCTGTAGCCACAGCCGCCAACGCTCACAAAGAGCGCGAAATTTCAAAAAAGCCTCCGTAGCTTTTTTGAGCTGTAATCACTGAAAGCGAAGCCACGGGTGCTGTAGCCGCAGCCGCCGGTGCTCACAAAGAGCGCGAATTTCAAAAAGCCCCGTAGCCCAGAGAGACAGAGCAAACCGTCAGCGCTCTTCTAAGAGCGCGAATTTTGAAATACGACTGAAGAGGACGAACCCTGCATCTCCAAAATGAATGCTAATCCAGCATTCCCACCATTCAAGCCAACCGAGGAAACGTGGGAATCATACAAAAATAGTTTCAGCTATTTCCTTGATGCCATCGGTTTAGCAGACGCTGCTGAACACAGGAAGAAATCCTACTTCCTCAGCTATTGTGGGGCTGCAGTTTTTGACACCGCTACAGCACTAGTCGCCCCTCGCGCTATCAGAAGCGTACCGTGGGATGAACTCCAAGAAATCCTCTCCAACCACTACTCGCCAAAACCAACTCAGAAGGCGATGGAGAAGTGCAACCGATGCCGACCCAGCCCAACCTTCCAGCACCAAAGACTCCCTGCCGGTACCAGTCTGCTCAGACGGAAACTCTCTGCAGGACCCGGTCTACCCCGTCGACCAGAAGAGTTTGCTGGAAGACCCGAGCTTCCAACTAGAGACACCGAGCCAACAGCCAAGCGAACCTGTTTGCCAGCCAGACCTAGCGACCCACCAAGGTCAGCCTGAACAGGGGGACTTACCGAACTCGCAGAACACCGCACCTGACCAAGCCCATGCCCCAACAACCTCCAAGGCGATTCCCGGGGGCAAGGACTTGACGCCAACCAGCAGTTTACCCGGGTTGCGACGTTCGTGTCGCCAGCGCAGACAACCGACTTACCTAAAGGACTACGCATGTTCCCAGCTGGGGGAAAGGAGTGTTATGTCTTTGGAACTGGTTGGAGTCCCCAACCAGGTCCGCTGCTTGAGCGGGAGCACCAGCCGCTCCCATTGGTTGGCTCCGTTTGACAGCCGGCTATAAAAGGCGGCTGTCGAGCAGTGCCAGCCCGTTGCCGCCAGCTAACCTGCTAGTTAGAAGGCAGACGCGGCAACCCTTTATTCCCTGTAATAAAGCCTGTTCGTTGTTCACTCTGGCTCTTGCCTCTTCCTTCCATCGCTCTACAACAGAAGGGAAGGGGATAAATGGGTGAAGAAGGGAAGGGAAGACATGGATGAAAAAGGGAAAGGAAGGGAAGGGGATAAATGGGTGAAGAAGGGAAGGGAAAGGAAGGGAAGACATGGATGAAGAAGAGAAGGGAAGGGGATAAATGGATGAAGGGAAGGGAAGGGAAGGAGAGTTGTTAACTGAGTTTTACCCCAAACAGTCATAAGTCAGCCCCCCTGTAATTTTGAATGATCACTAAAAGAATGGTTCTAAGTCAAGGGCTACCTGTACGGTAACTATATTTATGTTCTGCATCCATTTAGTCATACAATCCGCAGAGTCATACTTCACTAATGATCACACCTAACCAATGGTCAACGGTACGGATAGTCCTCAACTTCAAACAGTTCATTTATTTATTTATTCAAAATACGACTTCAGCAACAGAGTGGTCAGCAACGCCTGGAACCCCCTACCCGTTGTTACGATCTCAACCCCTCACAGCTTCAACCTCAAACTGTCTACCGTGGACCTCACCCCATTCCTAAGAAGTCCTTAAAGGGGGTGTGCATAAGCGCTCCAGCGTGCCTACCGTCCCTGTCCTACTGTTCTCATTTATTTGTACTCATCATTTATGATGTATGTTTATACTTATATGTTTATATGTTATGTTCATACTTCTACTTGCTTTCTCCTACCTGCCTGACAAACTAAACTAAACTAAATAAAATAAAATAAATAAATGGTAACTTTCAAAATTCAGATGCTTGGCAACTATCTCATGTTTATGACGGTTGCAATGTCCCGGGATTGTTCTGACCCAAGCCTTGTTCAAATTAAACAAACACAAACTGGGTATAAAAGCAAACCTTTTTTTAATGCAGCGCTGGGAATTCAGTGCATTCCCAGCCAAGAGACATTTAAAGCTAATTTTCCGATATCAAAAGCAAGCCCTTTCAAGGTTGCACAAGGCTGCCAAGAATAGAAGACTAATTACTGATTAAATATCCACCAAGCCATGCCTACTAAGCCACATAACTGGTGGTAAAAAATTTTGAATCCCATCCCTGGACCACCTGTATGTGATACAAGGTTTTCAAATTTAGTCAAACGTCTCAATATTACCTTTTATTTTTGTAATAGCCGTACTGCTTATTTGAAGACATGGAAACCAACTAAATATACAGGGGCATTGTATTGTAAGAGACTCAATAAATTTTACCTTTGTCCTGTTATCAATCTGGTCTTATAATCTAAACCAATTATTATATCCCCAGCGAGCAAATTTCCTAAAGCCTTCATCTTGGTAGAAATATTTACTATGCCCGGAAGCCCAAAAATACTGGACTAAAATGTGGAGTTGGATACAAGAAACAGTGGAAGATCGGACAGAGTTTAAACCAGAATTGTTCTTGTTGGGCATAATTAAAGGGAAATATAGGAAAAAGATTAAATATATTTTATCACATATATTGACAGCAAGGATAGCATTTGCGCAATGTTGGAAACAAAATAATATGCCCCTAGAGGAATTAGTAATTCAAAAATTTTTAGATTGTGCTGAAATAGATAAACTGATGTTAAAATTAAAAGATAAAGGAGAATCAAAAATTTGGGACAATTGGTATAAATGGTTGAACAATAGCTATAAAGATAACAGAGATAAGAAAATTATAGATAAACATATATGAATGTATATAAATATAGATATTTATATGAGATGTTTGTATAATAATGATGACGCAGTACTGTTAATATTAAGGTTGAGATGTGCAAAAGGTGAAAAAGAACAATAAAAATTATTTACAAAAAAAGAGAGAAATATTTACTAATAAAGCAAATGGGAAAAAGTCTGGAATTACTCTTTTCCTGTGTTTATTCCAAACCTTCAGTCAGTTACTTAATAATGCAAGATAACTTGCAGATTGTTTATGTGTACCAACTCACGTCTGTGCAAACCCTCTGCTCCTTCCCTGGAAGTAATAGTATATGTTCACTTATTTATTCATGGTTAATTGAACCATACATTATTTCATTAACCTAAATTCCTGGTTTTACAGGGGAGATTAAGCCATAAACTAACCATATGGAGCAGTTCAGCAACGCGCTGGGCTAAAACATTAGAAAGTTCATAACTCAATGCCTTACGTTATGCAAATACAGTCATTAGCCTAACATTCCGAAGGTGATAACAATTCTTTTAGCACTTAAGAACAACGTGTTATTAACTTTAATGGAGTAGTCCCCAGTTTACAACTATTACTACTGGTTAGTTTTTATATTATATTGTAAGGTAAAAGTAAAAATGTTATTTAACCGGAGTTGAATCCTGGTGAGTGCGAAGACCTACTGTAACCATGCATTTATCTTAGGAAAAATACCCTAAGTGATTTATCTCTGCCTTCCTGCAGAATTTTTTTTTTTTTCAACTTCGAGCTTTAAACAGAGCTAATCCTAGACCAGCGGTGGCTAACCTTTTTGGGCTCCTGTGCCAAAAATTGCTTGCACGCTTGCACGGTCGCACTTGTGTGCCAGCACCCAGAAGGCAATGCGTGCATGCGCCCCGCCCCTACACATGCGTGCGTAATCCCCACCCACCTACCCCTACCGCCCCCTTACCTGCACTGCACCTCACAGTTGATTTTCAGCCAGTTTGAGGCCTTTTTCGGCCTCCCAAAGGCTTGAGGAAGGCTTTTTCAGGCTTCTGCAGGATTTGCAGGCTGAAAACTAACCCCGTTTCGTCACTTTCTGTTTTTCTGAAAACACCGGAAGTGACAAAATGGGGTTAGTTTTCGGCCTGCAAAACCTGCAGAAGCCTGCAGAAGCCTTCCTCAAGCAAAAGGCCTCAAACTGGCCCAAAATCAGGTATGAAGCACACGCATGCCCAGTGAGGTAAGTTTACCTGCAGTTCGCGTGCCGGCACAAATGGCTTTGCGCGCCACCTGTGGAACATGTGCCATAGGTTCACCATCATGGTCCTAGACTTACAACCATTTATTTAGTGACTGTTCAAAGTTACAGCAGCACTGAAATAAGTGACTTATGACCTCTTTTCACACATACAACCATTGCAGCATCCTCGTAAAAATGGGGCATAATTCGCTTAACAATTGTCTTGTTTAGCAAAAGAAGTGTTGGGCTCAATTGTGATCGTAAGCCAAGGACTACCTGTACCGGTGAAGAGAGAGAATAGTGGAAATTGGGGCTTAAATGAATTTATTTATTTGATTGATTCAGTGTTGTGATTCTTTGAGTGGTACGGTGGCCTAGAGGTGAAGCTCCCGCCTCACAATCAGGAAGCTGTGAGTTCAATCCTAGGTAGCGGCAGAATAATTCTCTGGGCACACTGAGAATATATCTGCTGAATATAACTCCACATGGGCAACAGGAAAGGCATCCAGCCATTAAACACTCTGCTGGCTCCATTCAGTCACCCAGACCCTACCCTGCAAGGGATTATGGGATCATTAAAAGGAGATGATGATTGCTGTGACTCTTTGTGGTGTTCAGAAATAAAATATCCGTTAAGGACCAACCTGTATGAAGAATGAAATCAACAACTGTAGAAACACAAAAGAAAAAAAAATGACATATAATATTTCTGTGGCAGAACAATCTGCCCTCAAGTTTCTCAGACTCTCTAAAAGGTGGCTTTTCTTACTTCCACCATTCATGGGTCTCACAAAATCGTTCACCCAACAGTCCAGCAGTTGCTTTCTCTGCCTCAGCCTCTGTGTCTCTTCTTTCTCCTATTTCCACCCATTTTCCTTAGTATCTGTTACCAATTGAAACAGATGTGCTAACACTGGAGGTTTTTTTTTAAAGACTAGACAGCCATTTGTCTGAAATGGTATAAGGCCATGATGGCGAACCTATGGCATGCATGCCATAGGTGGCATGCGGGGCCATTTGTGCTGGCACACAAGCTGCAGGCAAACTTAACTCACTGCGCATGCGTGCACCTCACAGCTGATTTTCAGCGGGTTTGAGGCCTTTTTTGCCTCCCAAAAGCTTGAGGAAGGCTTCTGCTGGCTTTGCAGGCCGAAAACTAGACCTGTTTCATCACTTCCTGTTTTTCTGAAAATACCGAAAGTGACGAAGCAGGGCTAGTTTTCGGCCTGCAAAGCCTGCAGAAGCCTGCAGAAGCCTTCCTCAAGCCTCTGGGAGGCCAAAAAGGGCCTCAAACCAGCCAAAAATCAGCTGTGAGGTGCAGCACAGGTAATGGGGCAGCAGGGGGTGGGTGGGTGGGTGGGTAGAGATTGTGCATGCATGCGTAGGGTGTATAGGGGGCACACATTGCTTTCTGGGGGCTGGTACGCGTGCGCACAATTTTTGGCACAGGAGCCCCAAAAGATTAGTCACCACTGGTATAAGGTCTCCTGCTTGAGCAGGGGGTTGGACTAGAAGGCCTCCGAGGTCCCTTCCAACTCTGTTATTCTATCTATCATTCTGCTAACACTCAGACTCCACGTTTCGTCTTAATTTGCCTTTTTCATCTTAAGGGACTTTCAAAATTCTCTTAGGGTTTTGTTTTTTTTAAATACTTTCTTTCAATTCCAAATATTTCAGAAAAGCATACTGAAAAGCATTCCAAACATTTCAGAAAAGCAACCTCAATTTTTATTCCACCCACAAAACAACCTTATGAAGTTGGTCAGGGAGAAAAACCAGGAATGGTTTAATGCAGGGTTCTCCAAACTTGGCAACTTTAAGAGTGGTGGACTCTTCCACTCCCAGAATTCCTCAGCCAGCATGACAGTCCACCAGACTTAAAATTGCCAGCCTTGGAGACGCCCTGATCTAAATCCAGAGAGTTAATTTTAAAAACAAAGAGGATTCAACAGAAGTCTTCCCTTAAGAGGCAGCCAGACCGATTCCACCTTCTGCTGTCTGAATGACATATTCATTAAACCATTCATCAATCTTTTCTTCACCCTTAAAGGACTCTTTAAATAACTTCTATGGCCATGGGCCCCCCAAGATTTAAATCATAAAGAATGTTCTTTCTGCGCCAACTCAGAAAGCTCAAACTGCCCAAGGAGCTGCTGATCCAGTTCTACAGAGGAATTACTCAAGCTATCATCTGCACCCCTACAACTGTCTGGTTTGGTTCTGCAACCCAACAGGACAGACACAGACTTCAGAGGGTAATTAGGACTGCAGAAAAAACAATTGCTACCCACCTGCCTTCCATGGAGGACCTGTATACTGCACGAGTCAAAAAGAGGGCTGTGAAAATACTCACAGACCCCTCACATCCTGGACATAAACTGTTTCAATTACTACCCTCAAAACGACATTATAGAGCGCTGCACGTCAGAACAACTAGACACAAGGACAGCCATCACTCTGATGGCTGTCCTTGCGCCATCACTCTGCAAAACAATTAACTACCACAACACTGTCCAATTATTTACTCAGTTTGCATTACTATTAATCCTCTCATCATTCCTATCACGCATCCCCTCCCACTTGTGACTGACTTTGTTGCTTGTATCCTTATGATTTATATGGACTGTTTCCTAGTAAGATTTGATTGCTTATTTGTACCCAATGACAATCATTAAGTGTCGTACCTGATGATTCTTGACTCTTGACGAATGTCTCTTTTCTTTTATGTGCACTGAGAGCATTTGCACCAAGACAAATTCCTGGTGTCACAGTTGGCCAATAAAGAATTCATTCATTCATTCAAAACATTTTTTTAACTCGAGATTTAAATCATAACCTTTTTTTAAAGCCTTCGCAGAGCCCCTATGATGACATCACAGCCCTCCAGGAGTCTGCTGACCACAGGTTGAAAACCACTGGATTAAAACCATAAGAAGCAACAGCTGAAAAGAAACATTTCAATAATTTTCTCCGTCTCACCTTTTTTCTTGTTGTACTCATCTTCGGTTTCATGAGAAGATTCCGAGTGATAATTAAGGAGCTCTTGTTTATACAACTCTGCAAAGTTCTCCTCATCCTTTCTCTTCTTCTTATCTTTACTCTGGGATTTTTTACCTTTCTTCTTTTTCTTCTTCTTTTTTTTCTTTCTCTTGTGGCCATCATCATCTTCATCTTCACTGCTGCCAGTGCATTCTTTCTTTCTTTTCTTCTTCTTCTTTTTCTTCTTCCTCTCCTCACTGCTGTCTTCCGATGAGTCTTCACTTCTCCTCTCTGCCGAGTCCCTTTTTCTCACGTTCTTCTTTCTTTCACAGCTCTTGTCCTCCTCTTCCTCCAAGTCCTCCTCCTCCTCCTCTTCCTCCTCCTCTGAAGACAAACCCATTCTTGTCATCCGCTATTCATCTAATCTTCTTTTTTCCTTCCATGTCATTACTTGCTTCTCCAAGGTAGGCCTTTTTTTTTTCTTTTTAAGTTTGTTGGATTTCGCTTCTTGATTTGATTCTCCTCTTCTAAATATCTTTCACTCCTCTACTGTTTCTTGAACTTTCCTAATGGCATCCAACTCTTCCTTCTGCCTCTGCCTTATGTGACAATTTCCTTTCTCCCAATCCCATAAATTGTTGACGTCTTGAAAGTGTCTGTCTTCTTCATTCCCTTTACACCGTCCGCCTTCCAGTGGTATGATCAGAATGCCTTTTTCGTTCACATCTTCTGTTTCCTCTTTGACTTGTGTTGTTTTTCAGTCCCATTACTTATTCATGGGACTTCGCTGTGGAGTACTTCCTTCCTCTGTGTGAGTGTGAGTGTGCTTGCAAGCACCTACGATCATAGAGGGAGTCAAGCTATTCCCCAAAGCACCCGATGGCAGGACAAGAAGTAATGGATGGAAAAATAATCAAGGAGAGAAACAATGTAGAACTAAGGAGAAATTTTCTGACAGTCAGAACAATTAATCAGTGGAACGACTTGCCCCCAGAAGTTGTGAATGCTCCAACACTGGAAGTTTTTAAGAAGAGATTGGATAACCATTTGTCTGAAATGGTATAAGGTTTCCTGCCTAAGCAGGGGGTTGGACTAGAAGACCTCCAAAGTCCCTTCCAACACTGTTATTTTATTCTATTCATTCTCATTCTATTCATTCTTATTCTATTCTATCATATTCTATTCATTCCTATTTTACTTTATTCTATTCTATTCTATTCATTCCTATTCTACTCTATTCTATTCTATTCATTCTTATTCTATTCTATTCATTCCTTTTCTACTCTATTCTATTCTTTCTTATTCTTATTCTATTCTAGTCATTCTTATTCTATTCTATTCATTATTATTCTATTCTACTTATTATTATTCTATTCATTTTATTCTACTCTATTCTATTCTTGTCATTCTTATTCTATTCTAGTCATTCTTATTCTATTCTATGCTATTTGTTCTTATTCTATTCTATTCATTCTTATTCTAATCTATTCATTCCTATTTATTCTATTCCATTCTAGTCATTCTTATTCTATTCTATTCTATTCTATTCTATTCTATTCTATTCTATTCTATTCTTTTCTATTCTATTCTATTCTATTTAGATTAAATCAGGCAATGAGTCTATTCAGTCTCATTAGCCCTGCCTCTGAATAGAAGCCAGATGAGAACATATTGTCTAGTGTGCTGTATCCTTTGCACAACAGGGGAAAAATCTTTTTCTAGTTTTGGCCAGGATATCATCTGCAACTTTAGGAGGAAAGAGACCTGCTGTTTCTTAAGTCAGATAACCAGGTACAGAAAGACAAGTGAAAAAAGGACTAAGTGACAGACTGCTATCACTTCTCTGCCTGTTAGTTTTACAGCAGCGTATACCATAAGGAAGAAAAAAAAATCTGGGCCCCCGTATTAGTCTTATGCGGTACAAAGGTAGTCCTCAACTTACAACAATTCATTTAGTGACTGTTCAAAGTTACAGTGGCAGTGAAAAAAGTGACTTATGGGCATTTTTCACACTTAACAACCGTTGCAGTTTCCCCATGGTCACATGATCAAAACTGGGAGGCTTGGCAACTGACTCATACTTATGACGGTTGCAGTGTTGCAGGGGGCCACGCAATCCTGTTTTGCCACTTTCTGACAAGCCAAGTCAACGGGGAAGCCAGGTTTCCTTAACAACTGTGGAACAACTGCAGTGATTCACTTAACAACTATGGCAAGAATGGTCATAAAATGGGAAAAATTCACTTAACAAATGTTTCGCTTAGCAATAGAACTATTGGGCTCAATTGTGGTCATAAGTTGAGGCCTACCTGTATTCAAACAGGGCAAAGAGAGAGATCATTTACATTCTAAAAGATTATGGGGGTTTTTAGGGGATATTTTAACATTACCTGTGTCTTATTTTGGGGGGGGGGGTCCTAAAATAGGCACTAGGGTTTATTTTCAGGGGGTGTCTTATTTTTTTCCCCCCATGTACAGAAGGCCCACTTTTTCTACTTGCTCACAGTGGGGCAGGAGGCCACTTGGTGTGCTAGTGCTGCCACCTTGAGGCAGGGGAGATGAAGGTGCCCCACACACCCTGCCTCGACTTACCTCAGGGCCCCCACAGCCAGGCCACCCACGCCCCCACACCTGCAGAGGTGGTATTCAGCAGGTTTGGACCAGTTCTGGATAACTGGTAGTGGATTTTTTTTCACAATACATTTTTTTATTTTTTGTTTCTTTAAACACATCATTAAATACATCATTATTATCAACCCATTTTCCATCAAGGACCTGTATACTACACAGGTCAAAAAGAGGGCTGTGAACATATTTATAGACCCCTCACATTCTACACATAAACTGTTTCAATTCCTACCCTCAAAACGATGCTACAGAGCACTGCACTCCAGAACAACTAGACACAAGGACAGTTTTTCCCCCAAATGCCATCACTCTGCTAAACAAATAATTTCCTCAACACTGTCCAACTATTTACTAAGTCTGCATTACTATGAATCTTCTCATCACTCCTTATCACCCATCCCTTTCCACTTGTGGCTGTATGCCTGTAACTTTGTCGCTTGTCTTCTTACGATTTATATGTCAGCTTTGGAAGCCATATTGAGACCAGATGCTCCCAGGCCGCCACATTTGATCCTGGGAAAGTGGGAGGGGGTAATTTACTGAATTTATTTATTAGTTAGATATAAAGCATTCTTTTTCTAATTCAAGGTCAGGTTGTTTTGCACATAAGTGAGAGGAAGTCTTAACTTGGGACAGACAAAGTCTTAAATTGGGCCATGTGATATGATAATGGGTACAGTTTTTACTTATTGTACGGAAGCCCGGAACTTTCAGATACGGGATTCCACAGTTGTGCCAGTTACTATCCAAATAAAAAGGACTTTGTGAAAAAATCTGTCTCAGAGTTATTGGGTGGAATGAAGGGTTACTGGAATGCTGACATTATATTGACTGTTTCCTAGTATTGATTGCTTATTTGTACCCTATGACTATTATTAAGTGTTGTACCTTATGATTCTTGACTCTTGACGAATGTATTTTTTCTTTTATATACACTGAGAGCATTTGCACCAAGACAAACTCCTTGTGTGTCCAATCACACTTGGCCAATAAAGAGTGAACAGTGTACTTCCAGGTCTTTCAACGTTTTAAAACAAATATGACCCTAATTTCATATTCCTACTATTAACTTTCTTATCTGATTTAATATTATTACTTATTACCAATTTTATCATTCAATATTCTCATAGGTTACTTTATATCAATCTCTATATTCATTTTAATACATATTGTCAAAGTAGTCGTATTTGTAAACTTTACCAAATTACATCCTTCAAAATTCATAAATATATTAATTTATATTCATAAATTCATCTTAATTTATATTGTCCAGTATGTATCCCCTTTTCAATGTTAATTGTGCCACTATTATATTTTTCAAACAAAAACCCTCTCTAATCTCATTACATCACCCACAAATCATAATTTCCATCTCATTTTCATTTAACAAATTATATATTCTAATAACAATATAATCATTTTTATCTATTAGCGGAAATTGTGAGTTGTTTGGAGAACCGGCAAATACCACCTCTGATTGGAGATTTGCAGTATCCTTCCCTTGCCACACCCACCAAGCCATGCCCACAGAACCAGTAGTAAAAAAACCCGAATCCCACCACTGCCTTACAGCCAAAGCAGCATCAGTTGTCAACTCATAAAACATTCCTATGCCTGTTTTAGTAGTTGCCGTAAAAAAGGCGGGGAGGAAGAAATCTGGAAGATCAGTGCTGCAGTTTGGAAGCGAAAGTGCATTCCAACACTTATCTTTAAAAGATTGTAACTAAAATACCAGAGCTTTTGCTCACAAATATATTTAATTGGAGGATGTGAATGATGACACCCAGCCTATGAACGTGCTCAGTTGGAGAATCTGATTTATGAGACACCCAGGGGAAGGGGGAGGAAACAGGGTCACAGGTGATTGTAAATTATACGTACCAGAGTTGGCTTCATACGGGGCAGTGCCAGTATGTCACCTCTAATAAATCCTTTGAAGTTGGTTGAAGTTTGTCTCAAGAATCATGATTTAATTAGGGCGATTGCTGGAATCCTGACACCAGCCTTTTAAAGCAGGACCCGATATGGCTGCCAGCCCACTTCTGCTTGCTTGCAGCTGCAACAGAGCAGGAGGCTGAGCAATGCACCGGTGCCGATGCTGCACCTGTGAGGTGAGGTGGGGGAAGCTGCCCGATGTGCCCTGTACTGGCTTACCTCAGGGCCCCCATAGCCAGGTCATCCACACCCAGACACCTGCCTCACTTCGTGGCTGCGGCACCAGCACAAATTTTTCCCAAATCTTTTAGCCTCCCTGTTTCTCACCCTTTGACAGCAGACAGTAACAAATTCATTTCTTTAAAAGCCATGAGTACATCACAAATTGAGAGCCAGTTGGGTGTAGCAGTTAAGGTATGATGACCTGGGGTATGGCACAAAGGCAACACAGTCAGATAATCAGTAGGAGTCCCTTTATTAGCTCCAACTTTGCCCCCAACGACCAGGTTACCTTCTTGGGCTGGAGAAAAACTCTCCCAGGAACAGCCTTTGGCTGCAGAGAATCAAGTCCAAAACATGGTCAACAAAAACTGTAACTATAAGTCCAATCAAGGCAAAATGAGGTAATTTAGCCAGGCAAGGCAGGAGCAAGAATTCCAGATGTGAAGATATGGCAAAAACTCAACATGATTGGGAAAACGCCAGGAACACAGATAACCAAAGTCAACACAAGATAAACTCACGTTTGCTCCCAGCAGCTGCCGCACTCAGCATGCATTTCTTTTAAACTCTCTTCCCAGGTGTGCCTAATGAGGGGAATCAGGGCCCTTTCCTCCC